TATATATATATATATATATATATTTTTTTTTTAAAGATTTTTTTTAGATTAAAACAGACTACAAAACATTAATGAACCTATTTTTTGTGATTTTGATTTTTTTTCTCGTAATACAATAAAGTAAAAGAGTCCAAATTACTTAAAATATCTATATTATGCCTAAATTAAATATTTTACGCTAATATATAAATTTTTTTGGGGACAATCAAAAATCACATGTCTACACTTGTGTCTATCCACCAAGAATTGTCATTTTCAATAACATTGATTTCAGAGATCATGGCTACAAAGTTGTCCTTTTGATGCCCCTTGGTTTCCTCGACTCTTCTTTCTTTTCCAGATAGAGCAATCCTTCTTCTTGTGGCCCGGTTTGTTGCATTCATAGCACATACCTTGGAACCCCTTCTTCTTTTTGCCATCATCATAAGGCCTCTTCTTATCGTTATATTGTCCTTTGTGTGGTTTGGAGGACTCCCCATGTTCAACAACATTAATCTTGCCATCTTGAGTGCTAGGCTCCTTGGATTCATCCTGCATGCGGAACTCTTGTTCTACACGAAGATGATTGACAAGTTCTTCTAGGGACATGTCCTCCTTTTTGTGTTTAAGACTCCATTTGGAGTCTTTCCATGACGAGGGTAGTTTATCAATAATAGAAGACACTATAAAAGTTTCATCCATCAGAATTTTGTGTTGGACGAAACGGCTTACAATACGTTGAATTTCATGAAATTGATCCATGATTGACCGACCTTCTACCATCTTATAATTATTAAATTGTGAGACAAGAAATTTCTTACTAAAGGCATCTTCAGACATGTACTTGTTCTCCAGAGTATCCCACAGTTCCTTAGCGGTCTCCACATGTTGATAAATATCGAATAAAGCATCCGACATTCCATTCAATATATAGCCTCGGCAGATGTAGTCATCATTATCCCATTTCATCCTTTCCCTTGTGCTTTCCAATGGTTCCTCTTCGACTTCATTGGCCTCCGGTGGACGAGCGGTGGAAATCACATACACAACCTTTAGTGTTGTCAGGAGGAAGTGTATTTTCTTTTGCCAACGGCAGAAATCAACTCCACCAAACTTGTCAAGTTTGGAAAAGTTGGTGGTGAGATCTTTCAGGGAAGACATGATGTTAATTCTCTTTGATTGTTAAAGAAATCAGTGTGTTTGTGGTGAAAAATCTGGATATACTTCAATCCGTATACCTTGTTAGGATCACTTTCCAAAGAGAATTATTTGTCCCTTACAAATACTCTCTCGAGATAGAATGAAGTAAAGCCAAGAAGAAATAATAAATCAGATCTCCAAACACATAAGTATCAGTACTGCACTTACCAAACTTATGCAGTTTTTCTCAAGGAAGAATGTTGGTACTTGAGATATATCGCAGGATATCTTATGCCAAGGAGTGTTCCCCTATTTATAGAGGATGTATATTTCTCAAAACTACTGGAAAAGCACCAGAAAACACTAACAAAAAAGGTGCAACAAATCAGCCTAAGTGATACTCGAAGCGACGTAACGTTTCGCAAAGCAACATGTTGCATAAGAACTTTAAGCCAAATAACCGTTTTCCCTTTTGTTTATTCCTGCTATTTTCTCTTGAAAATTCCAACAATAATGCCTCGTGGGCGTAGACAAAATTTTTTGTAAGCGATGTCGAAACTTATAGAAATATGAGAATAATAACTTCAATTATCTTACTTCTAGACAAGAAATATTCTTAGTCTATTGGTTTTGTTGAGTTTTAAGTTGGAAAAGGTCCTGGGTTTAATTCTACTTCATCACAATTTTTAATCATGCATGCTCTCCTAATAATTGCAAAAAGAAGTGCTAGTTGAGGTTTGAACCTTTGACCTTTTAGAGCAAAATCAAGCACATAACCAACACACCAAGAGACAATTTACCTCAAGTGGTGTCATTTTTTCCTACTTACCCTTTTTTTAACAATATTAATACATTTATTTAGTAAAAAAATTGACGAAGCCGTGCGCGTGACACCGTTTCGTTAAGCGTGCATCTGCCTTGCCTCTACTCGAAGGGCAAAGTGATTCTCAAGACAAAATATTTCCTAAATAAATACACTTGATTTCGTTGTACATTTAAAGTATATTCTAAGTCACCTAAAAAGGACTTTCTTTTCCATCAGTTGGATGGCCAATACTATTGATTTGTTTTAGCAAACTTGCATTCTTATATATAAATTTTTTTTTGGTCTTGTATATATAAAAGTTATGTTCTGATCATGGTTGTATTTTATGTTATATTTCCAATAATGCAAGAAACTTGTGGTATTTCCCCTTTAAATTTTTCACATTTTTTTCCTTTTAATTAAATTGGATTATATAAAATTAAGTGTTCTTTTCTCTGATTTTAATGTTCTTTATACGATGTACTAATGTTATTTCCTTGCGCATAAAGCAATACTTGCATATGCTATCTAATTGCATATCACATTTTGTTGGTAGCTTGAAGCCAAGTTCATTGTTATTTTTTTTTTGGTAACTAAAAGATTTTATTTACCAAGTATAAGTATTTACACGCTAACAAAATTGAGACTAACTTTCTATCATAGCTTCTGCTGGACATGAGGCCCCAGCTGGGAGTTATCTATACTTGTTACAATCCCTCTCCTACTTCTCTTTTCGTCTACACTATATCAGGGTATCAATTCAGTGTAGTCATGATTCTATCTAACCTAGGAAAAATCTTGGCTCTAACGTGTATTTCCGGAATGATTAGTCTAAGGATGGAATTAGTAGATCTCTTCTTCTTCTGGAAAATAACATTGTTCTTCTCTTGCCAAATATGATAAACTGCTGCTGCTAATGACATTCTGCATACTGCTGCCCCTCTACTTTTATCTTTGGCCACCTTTTCTATCCACTTCAGCTCTTCCTGCCAATCTCCCTTTGTTCTCTGAATGCCTTGCTAGTGTAGGAGTTGCTGCCATATAGTTGTTGATACTTCACAGTTAAAGAATAAGTGTTGTAAGGTTTCATTTTCTCTTTGACAGAGTGACCATGTTTTGTCTATAATAATTCTCCATCTTGCTAGACTTTCTTTTGTAGCTAACCTATCTTGTATTGCCAGTCTTAGTATGAAGATCCACTTCGGTAATCCTTGATTATTACAAATTAGTTTCCTCCATGGTACCTTCTGAAACTCCCCCTGCATAGCTTTGTATGTGTGTCATATAGAGAATATCTCCATCATATTCACCTCCTCTTCTGTATATCCAGCAACCTCAAAGTAGCTTCTTGCCTTGAATATCTTTTGGATGACCCACAATGCACTTTTTGGTTCTGTGTTCCAAGTTCGTCGTTATTTATCTATACTACTTTTGATACTTATTTATCATCAATATTGAAGTTTTAATTTAATTACAAATTGATATATATTTACTAATTATATATAGAGTAATGTATTAGACCCTAATCTTCACCATTTTCTTGCATTTGCTATTTGTTCTCAAATTTTCATTGCTCCATCACGTTGTTGCCGCTTCAAGTTGAAATCTATCAAATATAGATTGGATACTCCAGAATAGTTATAAAATATATTAGCACACTAATTTTGCCAAACTAACATAGGATTAACCGTATTATCTATTTGAACAATTCAATACAGTCCTTGAATTTTCAGTTCTCTATAAGAAAATATGAAATAGACCTTCAAAATCTTCTCTAATTTTTGCTAATTTGGATGTCGGTTAAGTTTAAGGGCCAACGAAAGATGAAGACATGAGTCAAAACTCCATTGATAGCCATTAACAAGCTTCGAAGCTTTCAATTCGAAAATCAAATTTTGCGAAATTATTATTTGTTTGGATTGGGTGTTGTTGCAAATGATTGAGAATATCTTTTGGAGAATATATCTCAGTTTTGAGAGAATTTGATGAAGATTCGAGGTGGTTTCGGTAGAATTTGAAACTCGAAGAAGAAGACATAAACAAATTGTATTTATTTTGTATGTCGGGTGTAGAATGACATACAAATATATATGATCACGCTCAACTATGCCTTATAAAAAGGACACGCGGACGTTGCAAATATAATCTGAGTATTTAGCCCAGAGTCGAACCCACAAGGAATTAACCTATCAGTTACTTTCGTTAAACGTACTAAACTCTACGGAATCAACTTCCCAAACGTTGTCAATAACAATTGATGGTATCTCTACTAACTAAGAATGAATGTAAATAAACATCTTAAAACTAACTACGATTAAGTTGTAAACAATTAAGAAAAGGTTCTAAGGCTATGATTTCCCCTATTGATGGAATCCCTTCCGGTTATGCTTCACATAGAATCACCAAATCATCTCTATCAATCATGAGCACTCCTTTACCATAAATCTCTCCCGAGTAATCACGATAATTTACTAGACGCACTCTTCCGAGATACGCTAGATGGCTTTGTTTATTACAGCTCACTTTACATTGCACCCAAGGCTTCGTTATCCCTAATCCCGCCTTTAAACCCGCAGTTATAGATCTCTCTTATACTTTGGGAGTGGTGTTGTTCAACAATTACCTAAATATGCACATTCTCCCGAGTTATGCATACTAAATAGGCACAACTAATTGAGGATCCTGTCAATTAACTACAACAAGCACGTAGTTGAACAAATAGAGATTAAACTGGCAAACTATATTAACATAACAAGAAGTTCATCTTTTAATAGGTTCCATCAAACCCTAGACTAGGAAAATAGCTACTCATGACAAAACAAGATAAAACTACTAAATTATTCATAATGGTTAATTGCAAGAAAATAAAAGAGATAGAAAAACTCTAATGTTTGGTTGATCTTCTCACACTTGTTCTTGCCTCCGAAGTATTCTAAAAACAAGCTTAAAACAATCTTGGGCGAGTTTCTAAAGCTTATAAGGGTTTGGCAAAAGTTTTCCCGAATTTACACTTTGGTCCCCAGATTTTCTGACGCGTGAACAGTGCACCGCGGTCGCGGCTCGACCGCGGTGGGAGCTGAACATTCTGCCTCGAGCCTTTATATGTCGCGGTTGCACCGCGGTTCTACCGCGGTCTCGGTGGAACTGGTTCAGGCCATTTTCTTGCTTCTTTGTGCTCGGGTACTTCTTGAGTGGGCGTTTTCTTCACATTATTGCCTTCAAAACACTCCGTGGTACTTCCTCACTTAGAATATTCCCTGCGAAACAAAAGAACACCATTTAGAGCATTTTGTTGGCAATTTACCTATAAAACAACAATAAGGCATGGTCTTATTAAGGTGTAAATATCATCTATCTAGCCTAATATTAATATCCCACACTTAAATCATTGCTAGTCCTCTAGAAATCCACCACACTCTATCAACGTTCCTTCCCTAAGCGTTTCCCTTAACGACTCACACCTTGAACATTTTACCAAAGTTGCACCTAGTAGTGAACAACCTTTACCTTAAAAATCAAATCTTTCGTACCATGCAACATTCGCACTTACTCAAACCACTTTATACAAGAGTCAAGACTTACCTTTCACTTGTGAATCACATGCCCTCATATCACACAAGAGAGTAGTTCCACATAAAATGATATTTAGAACAATTAGGAGCTTAGATAGACAAAATTTGCTCACTCTAAAAAAGAACATTCACATGCCACAAAGATGCACCATAAGCTTGCCTATAGTGTAATACTCCACTAATCGAGTCCACTCAGTTTAAGATCAATAGGACTTCACTTGGTTGTAATGTAGGCTAAAAGACGGGTAGGATATATTTGGGGAATAGTGACTAACCTCCTTCAACACTTTTAATACAATTACATTAACCTTCAAAAACATACTTTATGTCAACCAAACACTCCACCACTTCTTATTTACAACATCCCCATCCATTAGGTGCAATCGTAACAAACCACCACTTATTGATTACTACATTTACTCATTATATATATATATATGTTTTTCTTTTTTTCTTTTTTTTTCTTTTTTTGTGGTTTGTTATTCTTATACTCTTCAAAACTCTGCACCTTTTCTCTATTTCAATGGTTCCACTCAAAAACCAAACCACCACCCCACACTTTTGCTTTTGCATAATCTCAATACCATTCAAGTGTGTATGGGAGGTAACAGGGTTCAAATAGTAGGCTATTCAACCAATTGGGT